GAAAGCAAGGAAATTTTCCACCGAGACTCTTAGAAGCATGAAACAAATCATAAACTAAATCCTGACGATGACTTCTTGGTCTCTAAGAGCCCAATTTACTTACTGGTAAGCACAGATGAAGGGAAAACTAGACAAGCCTTACCCATTATCCTGACCAAGTATAAAGACATTCCAAATACTCAAAGGAGAAATCAAGCTACCTCTTACATCCCCTTCCTTAGAAAACTTAAAAACACTAAAGAGTATAAGTACCCAAGATTATGCACCACCAAAACCAGGTTCAAATCGGGGGGGAGGGGTTACTCAAGAGGACTAGAAAGGGGGATATGTAAAATTAAAAAAAAGAGCATTCAACACAGCAGAGAATAAAAGGAAATTACCAAGATGGTGCTAGAGAGACATCTCAGAAGGCCAGCTCGGAAAAGAGGAAGGAGGAAAATGTAAGAGGGAGGTTTCCAGAGTCAGGAGGGCGGGTGGGTGAATCCATGAATTATAGGAGAGTTCTGACAATACAGAGACCTTCTGAGAGACAGTTTTAGTGACATAGGGTCAAGTGTTCAAAGAAACTAAAGCAAATTTTTTAAAAAGATTATTATATTAAAGAACATAAAAGGAAACATGCATAGTATTTCTTAGATGCAAATAATGTTAATGATAAAAATCATAGAGCTAGAAATAGCTAGAAAATGAAGCTACCATCGTAGAAAGTCAATAAGTATTCATAACAAATTAATTTATAGTAGTTTACAAATATTTTGCCCCTCTCGGAGAGCCCAGCAAGCTACCGAGAGTATCTCACCCGCACGGCAAAGCCTGGCAAGCTACCTGTGACATATTAGATATGCCAAACACAGTAACAAGTGTCACAATGGAGACATTACTGGGCCCGCTCGAGCAAAATTGATAAACAATGACAAGGACAGTGACAGTGGCAGTGACAAATATTTAGAAAAAATGGAAATGAATAAACAAACAAAACTAAGAGAGTTGGAAGTGTTTGCCCTTGGGAATCATGTTTGGAAGGAAGTGGGAAGCTAAGAAGCAAAAGAATTCTGTCATCAGCACAAAAATGTGACATCTTAGAAGGTAATATACACGTGAATTTTTAATAGACAAATAATAATTTTTAAAAATACCACATTATTTGAATCAGTGGTGAAGGGAAAATGACAGTATTTAAACTTAACCTCTCATCTACAGATTCTACTTTTTAAAATTAAAACGTCCATTTTTGCTCCATTTAGTAAGAACCTCTAACTTCCTCTCCATCCACCTCCTGTCCTGTCTTCCCCCGGTTTCTATCCAAATACCTCCCACACTCACAAACTCTCATCGCTCAAGGCGGCTTGCACACCACACAATCAAGGGACACGGGCTTCCCTGGCATAAATCATGTGGACATTTTTCAGGCCCATCAAGTCCCTTGACTGATTTTAAATTACATACCCCACCACTCCCCAATTGGTATTACTTAATTATACTACAAAATCACAGATCTGATCCCAGAAGACAATGTCTCTGCAGTTTCTCATATAAATATAAAAAAGGACCAGGCAAGGAGATGGTTCAAAGGGCTAGAACACATGCTTCCCATGTGGGGGACCCTGGGGACCCCCTGAGTGCTGCCGGAAATGGCCTCCCAAAAGAGTAAAACTAAGGGAGCCAGAGTGAGTACGGCAGGTAAGGCCCTTGATTTGCACACAGCCAAATCAGTTAGATCCCTGGTGCCCCATCTGGTCCCTCAAGTCGGCCAGGAGCGATCCCTGAAATACTAAGTCAAGGGTAAGCCCTGAGCACAGCCAGGTATAACCCCAAAACCAAAAGATTTAATTAAATTTTAAAACAACACATGCTTGGGGCCAGAGCGATAGTACAGTGAGTCAGGTGTTGGCCTTGCATACGGCCGACTCTAGTTTGATCCCTGGCACCACATACGGTCTCCCAAGCCTCTCCAGAAATGATTCCTGAGCACAGAGCCAGGAGTCACCCCTGAGTATCTCTGGGTGTGACCCAAAAACCTAAAAAACAAAACAAAACAAATGGCCAAAAATACACACATGCCAATCAGCTAATCAGTGGCTGAATAAATAGCAGTACTCATACCAAAAAAAAAAAAACCAAAAACACACATGCTTATTTTCCCAGAAAACTATAAATGCAAGCCTTCTCTATAACCTCTACCCACTAAGAAATAACTTTGTGAGAGCCAGATACTAATCTTTAAAACCTCAGGACTAGAATAGTACAGCGGGTAGGGTGCTTGCCTTTCATGAGGCCAACTGGGGTTCAATCCCCAGGACCCCATATGCTCTCCTGAGACCCGCCAGCAGGATTCCTGACTGCAGAGTCATGAGTAAGTCCTGAGCACCACCAGGTCTGACCCCAAAACGAAGCCAAACAAACAAAAAACATATACAGAAAAATTTTCTTTATTCCATCTTAAAAATCTAGTTCTAACAAAGAAGTTAAAGCTAAATGGAATATAAAATGGCTTCTAACTCCCTATCTGGATATAGAATCTCAACTTCTTTTTTTTTTTTAACATTTCAACCAGAAGTGTAAATACTTAAACCTATTTACTGGATTGACAAGCTAATGGATATTTTTCCATGCATGTGCCAGGACCCTGTCCAGACCACACTATTTAAAAGGCCAACTCTTCATCAATCCTACACCCCAGACACACCTTCCCGGTCACACGCAGACACTGGGTACCCTCCCATGTCCCAACAATTCACCTGGAACCTGTCTCCCTGGAGTCCTGCTAAAGTTCTCCCTTCACGCCACCTCACACACCTCTCGCATTTGCTCTCCGAAAGAAAAAGCACAAGTAATCTCAGTTAATGGAACGATAAATGGCACTAATAAATTCTAACAATTCAAGCATCACTTCTAAGAAACACATCTGTATGTTAACAATTCCCGAAGAGCAAACTATGGTGAGAATTAGGTCTACACAAAAAAGAAATCTCAGACAGTCGAATCTTTTCCTAAAGTACTTCATTTACTAATGAAAAAAACATGACATTTTAAAAAAGAATTTGTTTTTCATCTTAAAGTACTTTTGAGACAAGTGAGAGGCCAAACCATAGTTGGAAGCCTGTCTCATGATCTGGGGGAGAAGGCAGCTGGGATAGAGAAGGGATCGCTAAGTCAATGATGTTTGAAGGGATCATTCAGGATGGGAGATGTATGCTGAAAGTAGATAAAGGACCAAACATGATAGCCTCTGAGTATCTGTATTGCAAACCATAATACTCATAAGTAGAGAGTATGGGGGAAATTGTCTGCTATGGAGGTAGGGGGAGGGTTGGAAAGAGGGGGTGTATACTGGGGACATTGGTAGTGGAGAATGTGCACTGGTAGAGGGATGGGTGTTCGATCATTGTATGACTGAAACTCAAACATGAAAGCTTGTAACTGTATCTCACAGTGATTTAATTAAAAAATTAATTTTTTTTAAAGTGAGAGGCCAAGTTTTTCTGCTGGAAGGCAAATTTCTGTATTTGGGTCACCACAAAGATACAGATAGCCTCATTAGAATAGAAGTTCTTCTTCTATAAAATTGATGTGCTCTGTGATGGCTTATAAGCTCCTAGCTATAAATTTACGTGGGGAAGTCTCAACATGATGCTAGTCAACTGGCGGATTTTGAAGTTCATCAGAGGATTCTCTGCCCAAACTGCCAAATGACCTGTGCTAGGTTAACCAAGATGCATTCATTTACACTGACCCCCAGTCGGGGACACAATCACAAGTGTGATTGTCACAGTTCCTACCCAGCACACACATTTACCACATAAACTCTCCTGCACAGGCTCGACCAGTAATAAAAATAAACAAAATATTATCTCCACCATTCAGGGTAAAAATGCTACTTGCGGGCAGTTCAATTTCACACTGAGTAAAAAAAGGTCAGAATCTAAAGCAAAAGGGTTACGATGAATTTATCCACTGATATTTTACTTATGTTCTCAGTACACGAACATCTTTACAAAATGGAACTGAATTCTACATCAAAGAACGACTTTTACTCGAAATTGTCTTCCCGGTGAAAGATGGTATGGGAAACCTTTGCTAACAGGCCATGCCACTCCTCTCTCTTGTAAGATTCTGGCTCTAGCTATTAAAGAATTAAATAGCAAACTCATTTTTCCATGCTTGAGCCCAACTAGAAATAAAAAGTTAGTAAATTATGATATAAAAGTGTGGTTAGAAATTAATCCATGAACAAGAATAATTGTAGTCAATCAACACAGGGCATGACATATTAGTTTGTAAAATGGCAAAACTAAATATTAATCTATATAACAATGAAAGCAAATGGCATAATAAATAACCACTGAGTGATCTTTATTGTTTTCTGAAGAAAAGGATTTTTATTTCCCTGGTAAGCCTGTATTTATTAAGCACATTTCATAGTCAGGTACACTGAGAGGTCCTTTCTATAGCAACTTAAAATGGTCTCTGACATTTTGTGTTGTAAATGATCGTTAAGTGGCACAAATCCCAATTGATTTTGTTGTAAAAATCACTTCCGCCATTCATGCTTCTCCACTGTGCAGCTTTGAGGAAATTACCTGCATGATCACGGTCAAATTCTATGTCGAGTTAGAATTATCACTGCCTGGCTACTTCGCCATGCAAAATATGCTCATTTAAGTCTATTTGATTTGATTTAAAGTAATCACATTTATCTTATTTCTATCCCAGCACTGAGAGGTACACATCAAAGTCTGTTCAGGTTATAACAACATATTTACATATGAAACTTAAAAAAGGATGTCTTTCTCTTTACTTAATGCTTAAGAAATGAATGGTTGGTGTTGTAAATTTTTTTTTCTTCACTTTAAATTGTCTCTTCAAAAGACAGAACCTCTGAATGCCAATGCATAGTGACACAAGGTAGAATTGCTCAACAGTCATGGAGATCTTTACAGACACCTTTTCTTAAGAATAATAAAGTAGGGTACAGATACATAAGAAGCCTTAAAAAATACCTGAGAGGTCTCGCCTGAGGGTTGCCTGCTTCTACATATGGATGTAAATAATCCTTTATGTAGAGATCAGCAGCGCTATTAGAATGGGTGCAAATGAGAATCCTGCTGAAATAAATGGTGCAAATAAAAAGAATGATAAAACACAAAACTATTCAAGCAGTATAAAAAAAAAAAGCAGTGGCCATCATAATATTACACATTTTTCCCTTCACTTATTCAGTAATCTCTAAAATATTTTTCAAGGGTGCCTTTAGGAAATAACATTACTATTTTACACTAGAAATTCCTTTCATTCCCCCAAATTATCCTTAAAGCTACTATTATACAGTTCAGGGTGAAGAAAATGATGTAAAAACTCTGCTAGCACTGACATATTGCATAAACGCAGTCCCCTGGAAGAAAAAGGAATGGGTCCCCCCTCCACCCCCGCCAGGGCTATTTAAAAGCTATCATCCTTGATGTTGCCAATGTTTAAGGAAGTCTGTCAGAAGGCAAATTTCAATGCTTTGGCTTTTTTTTTTTTTTGAAGTCCATATGTTTTGTTTATATTTACAGGCTGCAGGAAAACCACCTTGCGGCCTCTGTATGCCAGGAAGAGGGTCTGTGCCCTAATGGGGCTGGCCACCCTGCTCTGTATGCCCGGGAGAGGGTCTGTGCCCCAACGTGGCTGGCCACCGTGCTCTGTGTGCCCTGCCATACCTCCCGCTCTCTTACCTGGTCTCAGGCTGCTGGAGGATGTGCTTGACGGCCTGAGCAAGGGTGAAGGTCTTGCCTGTCCCGTAGGGGCCGATGATGAGGACAGGGGGCAGCTGGATGGAGAGTGGCGTTGTGATGGCCAGAACGGCCTCTTTCTGCTTGGCATTTAGACGAGGGTCTAACTGTTCATCCCACTGTCTACAGAAAATAAAAACGCATTTGGAACATGCTGATCTTAGCATGTGCACGCATGTGTATGTCGGGTTTTTTTTTTAAACTTAAAGAACTGACTTACAAATTTTTTGATAGTTGAGTCTTAGGCATAGATTTCCACACTAATCCCACTGCCTGTGTCCGCTTCCCTCCCCCAGAGTTCCCAGAGTCCCTCCCCACCCTGTCTTCACCTGTCAACGGGTCGGGCCCATTCCACAGAGGTTGTGGCTTACAACGCCTGTATTCAGTGTTATTTAGCCTATGTTTTGGCTATGTAGCTGTACCGTTCACACTTATCACCAGTATAACTGAACTTCTGATGCCTGGTCACCCAAGCGTGCAAATCTTATTAATAAAGACAACGTGGTGTGGCCATCAAATATCCCGATTTCACTGAACCGGGACAAGTAACTAAAAGAATGGGCGGTGGCACAGGCGGTCAGCACACAGTGAGGCCCCAAGGTCAGTCCTCAACAAGACAGGCCACCCAAGCACCGCTGGGCAGGGTGACAGCTCAGGAGCGTGCAGGTGCAGGCTTTAGGGGACAGAGGGATAGTACAGCAAGACCCTGGTTACATCCTCCAGTACCACACATGGTTCCCTGAGCACCGCCAGAAGTAATCCCTGGGCAGAGTGAAGATAAGCCCTGGAATTGCCAGGTGTAGCCCCAAAACAAAACAGAGCAAAACAAAACCCTCCCCAAAATTCCATTTTTAGAAAATTATCTAACAGAACCTGTGTAGAATGTTTTCCTTTTTCCTTGTTTTCTATTTGTTTGTTTGTATTTTTCTATTGAGCTACACCTGGCAATGCTCAGGGTTTACCCCTGGCTCTGTGCCCAGGGATCACTCAACTCAGACTCATGGCAGTGCTTGGGGGCCCACAGGAGGTGATTGGTGGGGGAGGCTGGGTGTCAAACTCAGGTCAGCTGCAGGCAAGGCAAGCACCTTAACAACTATGCTATCTCTCCAGTACCATTTTCCTATTTTGTTTTTGTTTTTTTTTTAAATGTATTTTAAAAAGTTATCTTGTTCTCTTCCAAGTGCAAAATTATTTTAAGAGCTAATCAAAAGACAATGCACATTTTTCGCCTGCTCTCAAATCTACAGCTGGCAATGACAGTATCTCAAAACTGTAATATTCCAGGGGCTGGAGTGAAAGCACAGCGGCCAACCTGGGTTCGATTCCCAGCATCCCATATGGTCCCCTGAGCTACTGCCAGGAGTAATCCCTGTGCATCGCCAGGTGTGACCCAAAAATCCAAAAAAAAAAAAAAAGTAATGTTCCTGTCTCATAAGCACCAGTCAACTTTTTTTTCTGATAATAATGAAATAGTAGCTTTTTTGACCAGCAGAAAGACTCAAAGGAAAGGCTCGTTTCCCAGGAGCCCTCTGCCCTGTCCCTATTCTCCCCCTGATTTAAAGGCGGCTGCCCTCAGCAGGGCTCATGGAACATAAGGATTCTTTCCTGGGGTTCCTTGGACAGGTGCTTTGGGTCTGTGTTTTGCTGCTTGAGGCCAGCTGTATTGGGGTATGCCAGGACCGGCGCCGGCAGTGGTCAGGGTCAGCGCTTATACGGTGAGGGGCACTGCACTGCCTGAGAGAGAGCACAGGGCCCCACTCACTGCATCACCGGTGCTATCACTCCGGCTCTATTCCCTGGACTTTCAATTGACTAATCCATTGTCAACTAACCCACTAAAAGATCTTAGTAATGGGAAACAAGAGGAAGAGGGAAAACCCGCCATGTTTCAAGTTATCAAACTTGTACGAAGTTCATAATTTAGAAAATAGCCTTTTGGGGCCAGAGTGAGAGCATAGCAGGCAGGGGGTCTGCCTGCATGTCGCTGACCGGCCTCCCATCTGGCCCCCTGACTGCAGGACCAGGAGTAACCCCCGAGCACCACCAGGTGAGGCCCAAACACCAAAGAAGAAAAAAGAAAAGAGCAACTTTTCAAAGTTCAAACTAAAGCCTGTTTCCTAATATCTTCGCACACACAAATAACATCCCTAAGTCCAAGTTTTCAGAGCAGAGAACACCTGTCACGCTAGCAGAAACACTGCATGAGGAGTCAGAGGTTCCAACGTGCCTTGTAGGGCTTGGCCCAGGCTCAGAGACAGCAGCTGCAGGAAGGCATCAAACCAAGTGGAGAATCACCAACATCCCCTCGCACGACTACAGCAAAAATACCATGGAGCACAACCACAATGGCACAAATGACAGCGATGCGAACCAAAATAGGAAGGGCGTGGAGAAAGACTCCCGGGAGAACTTGCTAAGTGTCTGCAAAATTAATCTGGAAGGAAGAGGACCTGGATGAAACAGGAAGTTTCCCTCTGGGCAAGGCTCTACTCCTTTAAAATCAGAAGAACTATCCTTGGGGGGAAAAAAAAAATCTTAATATTCATGCAGTTTTGCAAAACCATTGCTGTGTGGCAGGTAATTTCAAACAAAATTCCTCTAAAAACATAAAGCTTTAAAAGCAAGTGAAGTACATAAATACACCATTACTGGTTTATCTAATTAAAGATAATAATAAAATGAGAGGGGGAGTCAAGGATCAGACCCAGGGCCCATACAATGAAGCGCGTACTCTTCCTCTGAGTCACATCTGTAGTCTGAAATTTACAAAACCTTCAGTAGCAAACAAAAGAACTCTGGGACAGTGGCACTAGATTTCCTGGAAGCTATTCACTCCTTCCAGCACTTTGGCCCAAACAGTCCTTCATAATGCTGCCAGTACTTCTTCATGTTCCATCTTTGATAAACAAGGAAATTGCTGGGCTAGACCCGCAGTATAGAGGATAAGGCATTTGCCTTGCACGCAGCCAACCTGGCATCCCTTATGGTCCAGTCAGCACCTCCAGGAGTGATCCCTGAGTACAGGGTCAGGAGAAAGCTCTGAACATTGCTGGGTGTGTCCCGCATCGACTCTCGAAAAAGGAAGTTGCTAAGTTCAAAAAACAAACAAAACCATACTGGAAAGAGACTGCCCTGCCCAGACCAGCCCGTAGGAACCCTCTCCTGCCTGTGGGTCTGCTCTGGCGCAGAAGAGAGGTGCACCTGAACAGTCCAGGCACCCTGAAGGCTGACCCGCACGCTAACTTTACATGCAGGAGGTGACCCGGCTCCCAGCACAGAGCAGGGAGCAGCTGCTGAGCAAGCCTGGCTGGATGTGGCCCCCAAAGAGGTGGAACCAGCAGATCACAGGCAGGGGTCCCGGACAAAAATAAAGCTTCAGGAGGGTATGGTGCCACCAGCAGGTCAATCTGTACCTGTGAGGCGAGTGCATCAGCAGCCTGATGGTGCCTTCAGACTTCCAGATATCCCAAAATTGCTGCTATGCCTTTGGCAAGACCCCAAAAACTTGGGGCAAAGTTTACCAAGAAAGTAAACGGCCAAAAGTTAGGTATGTGGGAGACACACCCACAAACCACCTCCAGCTCAGCTATATAACTGGAGGCAAGACCTCTCTGGTTCCTGATCGAACTGCTTAACGGCCATGATCCCAGAGACTCAGAAACAAATCTTGAAACCCAACGGCTTTTGGCAGAAATGCATCCAGTCCCTGCAGTAAGTTACAGGCGCCGGGCCACCCCAGGTGGGAACAGGTTTTGTACCTTGGCCTGTTTACCCTGGTGGCCCGGTGGCCCAGTGGCCGTCATCCTCGAGGCCACTAGACAGTCAGGTTTGGGCCCACAGTGATAAGACATGTTGGGCCTCATGAGATGGGGGTGGAGCCGGCCCTTACCTCCCCACCCCAAGGAGACCCTAAGTCACCACCCACGAACGGCCTCTCTGGCTCCTGACAAAGCTGCTTAACGGCCATGATCCTAGAGACTCAGAAACAAATCTCGAAACCCGGCGGCTTTTGGCAGAAATGCATCTAGACTGCACAGTAGGTTACTGTTGCCGGGCCACCCCAGGGGGGAAAGGGTGCTGTCCCCCCGCCTGCTCCCCCTTGGTGGCTTGGTGGCTGCCATCCTCCAGAGGCCACTGAACAGTCAGGTTTGGGCCCGCAGTGATGAGACACACAGGGCCTCACGGTATGGGGGTGGAGCTGGCCCTTTCCTTCCCACTCCAAGAGACCCCGAGTAGCCGCCCACAAATAGCCTCTCTGGCTCCTGATCAAGCTGCTAAATGGCCATGATCCAAGATACTCAGGAACAAATCTCAGAACTCAGCAGGTTTTGGCAGAAATCCCTCCAGATTTAATTGTTAAAATTTCGGAATTTCAAAATTGTGTGACCACTGCTGCAGCCATGCGACATCATATGTTATTCATAACTAGCAATAGAAAACAAATTGTCTACTGTTGGCTTTTTGGCATATCCGAGTGTTGGGGTAAAATCCCAAATAATAATGGTGGGTCAGGTGTCAAAATACTGAATGTAATCAAAGAAGAGAGAGAATAATGTGGAAATCATCTGCCCCACAGGTAGGGGGAGGGTGTGGGATTGGGGGTATACTGGGGTTTTTGGTGATGGAGAATGGGTACTGGTGAAGGTATGGGTGTTTCATTGTATGACCAAGACTTAAGCCCAAAAACTTTGTAGCTATTCTCAAAGTGATTCAATAAATAAAATTATAAAAAAAATGAAAAAAAAACGTAAGGTGGAGTTCATGCCCAATTTAATCAGCCTCATCAGTGGCTGAATAAACAGCAGTACTCCTACATTAATTAATTAAATAAATAAATAAATAAAGCTTCGGGGAGATGCTTGCTGGCCACAGAGCTGACTGGGGTTCCATCCCCTACAGCAGGTGGTATCCCTGAGCACCAGTAGGTGTGGCCCCCAAATAAATGAGAAAAAAAAAAAGATGCCACCATGGCAACTATCATGGCTGTCATTTTAGAATAAAATGAGGCATCACATTTCATTACATGGAGAGATGTGGCAACTGGAGTGTATGCAGTAAGACATGTCATCTGACTGTTAACTTTAAAATAATTTTCAAAGTGGCATCTTCTAAGATACTTTCCCTAATTTGCTAAATTACAAAACTGTATCCCTCTTCAAAAATTATTTTAAATTGACTCCTTGAACCACTTTTAAAAGGCTCTAATTTTCCCATTCACATTCGATGCTGCAATATTTTGAAGCCGGTTGGCATCCTGTCAAATTAAAAAAGCAATGGAATTCATTTACGCTGAGGGAAAAAGAAGAAAATAGTTGATAAACTTTAAATGTTTTTTTTCCCAAAAGGTTCTTTTATTTCCTTTTTTCCAGCTAATAAATTATCTCGTGAAGCATATAAGCAAACATTCTTATGAAACTCTGCTTCAGCTCTCTGCGACACGTACTCAATTCCTCACTGCCGTAGTGCTTGTTAGTAAGATGCCCCCTTTCTGTACCTGTTGGGACTCCAAGGTATGGTTGGTGTCATGGTGATGTCTGGAAATAAAACCCCGTTATCCTTGATCCTGTCCAGCGCGTAGTGCATTTCACAGAGGGGTAACCGATTTAACTGAAACTGAAGTTCAACCTGAAACACAAAACAAAACTTTTTATTTTTTAAAATATGAAACATCAACACCTCCAACTCACATGTACTGGGAAAAATCTTTTAGGGTACCAAGTTCAGAGATACTATCAACGTACAATAATCATATATATCCTAATAATAATTCAGATAGTCAAGATGTGCTGTTTATTTAATGCCAGGTTCTATAATAAGCACTTAACCCAGATAATTTTCTTTAACAGTAGTAATGATGTAGGTACTATTATTACCTAGGAGACCCAATCTTAATCTCCAGATAAAAGATTTTCTAATTCTTGACTGGAGAGATAGTACAGTGGGTAGCCCAAATGGTCCCCCTGGGGAGGTCGCCAGGAATAACCCCTGAGCACTTCCAGATGTGAATCAAAACAAAAACAAGCAAACAAAAAGAGATTTTCTAATTCCTTCATTCCAATAAAGAACACATCTGACAAAATCAGCAGTAGAAATATGTGAAATATCATCTCTCAAGTGAAAAAAAAAAAAAGAAAAGAACCCCAAGGGTCTATAGCAATAGTACAGGCAGGTAGGCCATTTACCTTGCACACATCAGACCCAGGTTGGATCTCAGGCATCCCACGGTCCCCCAGTACTGTGAGGAGTTATCCCTGAACACAGAACCAGGAGTAAGCCCTGTGCACAGAACCAGGAGTAAGCCCTGAGCACTGCCGGGTGTGGCCCCAAAACAAAACACCGAAGACTCTGTATCAATGTACTGTGAACGAATAATATTCCCCATGTTTAATATTTTCAAAGAAAAAGAATGGGGCTGTAGTGATAGCACAGCAGGTAGGGTGCTTGCCTTGCATGCCACCAACCCAGGTTCAATCCCTGGCACCCTAGATGGTCCCCAGATTCCACCAGGAGTAAGCGGCCGGGTGTGGTCCAAAAGCAAAAACAAAAAACAAAAAGAAGAAAAAGAAGAAGAAAAGAAAAAGAAGGCCAGGAAGATAGCACGCTGGTAAGTAAGCTTACAAGGGTAAGGTGCTTGCTATCAGCCAACCTGGGTTCATTCCCTGGAACCACAAATGGACCCCAGAGTCCCACAGGAGTGAACCCCTGAACGAAGAGTTTGGAATAAGCCCTGAGCCCCACCAGGTATGGCCCCCAAATAAATAAAACAAAGAAACAAATAATAAAAAAAAAGATATGCTTTCCAGTTAAAAATGCTCAACTGAATAAGCAGAAAAATCCATAAACAGAAAGAGACCCCAAGCAGACACAATTGAGAATAAAACGAATCCCAGGACCGTTTCTTTCAATCTGTTCTTACACTGCTGCTCTTCAAACTCTTATCAGAGAAAGCTAGACTGTGTATAAAACTAGAACTCTGGTTGACCTTTTTTTTTCTTTTTGGGCCACACCCAGCGATGCCCAGGGGTTACTCCTGGTTCTGCACTCAGCAATTACTCCTGGCTGTGCTTGGGGGACCATATGGGATGCCAGGGATCCAACCCGGGTCAGCCGTGTACAAGACAAATGCCCTACCCAATGTACCATCTCTCCGGCCCCTGACATTTCTTAAAGATCATCACTTTTCTGAGAGTGAGTGAGGCCCACACCACACCCACCTGCTGACAGGTCAGGGCTTGCTGCACCTGTCCCAGGCAGAACCAAGAAGGAAAACCGGATGCAAAGCGGTGACCTCTGGCAGCCGCAGGGAAGATGCCATCTACAGAACATACCTGTGCATCATGGTCAGGCCGAAGACTCAGCTCCTCACAACATTCCCTGGATATCCTTAAAAATATATACTCTTTTGTTTTCTCTTCAATAGTAGCTTCATACGCCTTCTCTTTGGTTCCCTGGGTCTGGACTTGCCTCTCCTTCAGGACTGGCAATAGATACACGGCACTGACTTTGGTCATCACCAGCCGTCCAGCCAACGTATCTTCAGAAAGTGTTTTAGTGAGCTTAAAGCGACCAAAGAGCTGCCCGTTCTGAGCATACTTGGCACCTCCAGACACACCAGTGAGCATGAAGCTTGCTAGAATCTGCAACTGCACTTTAAGGTTGAACCTGCATCGGAAGAAGAGAACAAGTTGGAACGATTCATATCAAAAGCATAAAAACTTAGAGGGAGGAAAAAACTGAAAGATCAAATGCGAGCAATACAAAACATTCTAAAATTTCCTTCCAATCCCCCTCCGTTAAAAGTTACAAACAATATCCTCTTTCTGCCCTTACCCCAAACTAGAGACAACAACACTTGTGTAAAAGTGAACAGAATCCCATAGGAGTAAGATAAAAACTACATACTTGAGGGGCTGGAGCGATAGTACAGTGGGTAGAGCATTTATCTTACATGCAGCCAACCCAGGTTGGATCCCCAGCATCCCCTATGGTCCCCGCAGCACCACTAAGAGTAATTCCTCAGGGCAGAGGCAGGAGTCACCCCTAAGTATCAAGAGGGGTGGCCCCAAAACAAAACAAACAAAAAACTACATATTTAAATATTCCTGAAGAATACCTCTCTCAAAGCTGCATTTAAAAATAAAGAGAGAGAGGGGCTGGAGCAATAGCACAGTGGGTAGGGTCTTTGCCTTGCACGCGGCTAACCCGGGTTCGATTCCCAGCATCCCACATGGTCCCCTGAGCACCGCCAGGGGTAATTCCTGAGTACAGAGTCAGGAATAACCCCTGTGCATCGCCGAGTGTGACTCAAAAAGCAAATAAATGAAGGCAAAGAATGATCCTGAACACAGTGAACTTTTGTATAGTACATAATGTGAATCTGTCTAGGCAGAGATGTGTTTGCCATCACCCAGCACCAAAAAGAAACTGCAATTCCTGGTAACTGCCAGGTGTAGCAACCCCCCACTCCCCACCCCACCCACCACACACACACACAAACACTACAGTGGACATTGTGGAAACTTCCGCTTTTCAAGTAGCTATTACCAAGAGATTCTAATCATAAAATTTCTCTTTCAACTCTGCTGGTGAATACCACCCCTCTCCCAAATTAAATGCCAGAAAATGTAGTAACCAATAAAACGAATGAAAATGCAACCTGAGCATACAACACTCCCTGATTAATACGTCATCTCTGATTAACCGCTTCTTAAAATAAGGTCTATTAGGGCTGGAGAGACAAGCAGAGTTCAGCCCCCTGACACTACAGGATATAGGCCAAGAGGCAGCCCCCAACACTTCCAAGGTGACCCCAGTAATCCCTGACACCACGGTCCTGAGCCTTGGCACTGAACTGCCAGCTTCCCAGGCCAAGAATTGCTGGGAGGGGACTCTGGACCTCCTGAGCACCACTTGGGAGTTATACCCCTCCCCCAAAAATAACAATAAAGGCCCGAGACATGCCACAGTGCCTAAAAGCACTACCACCCTGCAAGTGTGAAGCCCTGAGTTCAAGCCCAGGCTGATGCCCTCCATGGATGCCCAGTAGAGGCCTGTATAGGCCACTACAGAACTGCCCCCAGCCACTCCCACACCTTCTCCACACAGCCAGATGGGACCCCAACAGACACAGTCAAGAATGGTCCAAGATTCAGAGACGATGAAACAAAGCTCCCGAAAGACAGTAACACAGAATGTCCTGGAGTGTATGGCCACATTTGTAGCCGCATGACATCTTATACTCTAACCCACTGAGGTACCAAAAGTAGCACACATTCGTTTGGGTTTAACATACATGCCTGTAATCTCTTATACAAGGACTTAAATGGCTTCAGGATGAAATACAACAATCTTCACACACTTATGGCGTTGGGAAGGTATATGGTGGAGGGACTGGTGTTTGAATATTACCTGTAATGAACTACTGTGAACAACTTTATAAAAATTAATTATTTAGAAAAAATGGGGGAGGCACAAACCGGAAGTGTGATTCCCAACACAAGTGCTAAGTACGTGAGCATCACAGCATGAGTATCACAGCCAAGCAAGAGCGGCGCTGGGAGTACCACCCCGCCCCACCCTGTCCCGCTCCTGCCCCAGCCAGCCAAAACAACACAAAGTAAAGAACCAGGCAAAGTGTCTGAATGCTTTTTGTTTGGTTTCAGTCATTTTAATAAAATAAATGCTCTAAAATAAAAGGAAAGAAACCCTTCCCTTATTCACGGTTTCTCTGTCTGAAGAGCAAGGGCCGAAACTCTTTTTCAAAACAAAGAAATCCCTTACAGTACATCTTTGATTCATAAAGTTCCTAGAGTTGCTGTGCAATTTTATTCATCTTTTTTTTCACCACTTTTCTTTCGCTATACCCCCGCTCCCACTCCCTTATGTAAAGCCAACCTCTCCCATTCTACTTCCTTTCCAGCAGCTGCTCCGTCTCCCCATCTAAATTCTATCCATCTTCAACAGCTCCTCTTCCTCGCTGCACTCCCCCTGGGTGAGGCTGCCCTCCTTCCAGACCAGGGTGAGTCCTACAAGCCTAGCCCCCACCTACACAGCATGCCTACATGCTCCTCGAACTCACGAGAAGCCAGGAAGAATCACCATCCGATCTCTGCACAGCTAAGACAAACCAATCCTGCAGGGTATTATTACTACAACTAATAATACGGCCGTCCCACTGAGCGTTCAAGTTAGGAGCTGAGGTACCCCTCAGGCCTGCCACAAACTTTCCCCCAGACCTCCGACAAACAATCAAAAGGTCCTACCCATTTCCTCCTAACTCTTTTGCATCTGATTTTTTTTTTTTTAGAGGCCACACCTGGGCGTACTCTGGGCCTGGGCCCATTCCTGTGAATGCTCAGAAGCCATGCAAACCTAGCCTCAGGGACCACGGGGTAAATAAGACAGTGCTTAGGGGACCACACAGTGCTGGAGGTTGAACCCAGGACCTCCGCATGCTGGTTGTTTGCTCTACGACATGGACTATCTATCTCCCTGGATCTGCGGCTCCACATTTTCAACTGGGATCATTATAGCTAATTCCCTAACGAGACTACGGCCTGCTTCAAATCTACTCTGCAAACTGCCAGCAGAGGGTGAGAACTAGTCTCCAGGAGCTCTGACAATAAGCTTTAAAGGGCCTTTCCTTGGACAGAGGGGAGAGTTCAATGGGCGGGGGTGCATACTCTGCACGCAGAAGACCCGAGTTCAATCCTCAACAATGCAAGTCTCCCCAAGCACCAATGGGAGAAACCCCAGGATCTGAGCCAGGAGCAGTTCCTGGTCACTGCCAGGTGTAGCTACCCCCCACCCCGCACTCCGGCCCACTACACAAACACACACACAAACAAACACGCGCACACACACACACACACACACACACACACAGAAAATAGCTTCCTCTATTATACCCTACACCACCACTCAGCTACAATGACGATTTCAGATATTCCTACACTCTGTGCTCTTATGCTCTTACCCTGTTTCCTCCAACAAAATACTTTTGTTCTGTTTCTTCACCTGCTAATTGTATGTGCTTTTCAAATTCCATCTGGCCCTGAAGTGAGTCATCCCCCCCGCCCCCACTTCCCTGGCCTCTCCTGTCACCATCCCCATTACAGTGCAAAGATACTGTATTATAGCCCGACTCTGGGACACAGGGCTGCTCTCCCCTGCTAGATTATAAACGTCCAGGAAACAAGGAAACAGACGGCGTTGCCTTCCAATCCATAGTCACTAGACTAAAACCTCTGAAACTTGGCCTACTCCATAAATTTTGTTCATTAAATTAATTTTACATTTTTATGATAATCTGAGTTTTCCCAAGTACAAGATTCCCACTTCAACTACTACTAATCCTAACAAATTATTTGTGTGTATTTGTTTGTTTGTTTGGGGGACACACCTGGCAGTGCTCAGGACTTACTTACTCCTGACTTGCACTCAGGAATTACTCCTGATGGTGCTCAGGGACCAGATAGGATGCCGGGGATCGAACCTGGGGGTTAGCAGTGTGCAAGGCAAGCACCCTCCCTGCTGTACTATATCTCTGGCCCCTGCCTAACAAATTATCCAAGTCACAAAATTTTGTCAACTAACTTGGGCAATCTATTACATTTTTACTGATACATCTATTTTAGAACCTGCCATCCCAAGACACTTGCTTGCAATTTAGCAGGTATGAAAAATCAATCTTGCCATATTAAAGCAGTAAGAAGCCTCTTGTGATATTCAGCTGTGCCTTGCTAGGAAACTCTTGAAGAAGAGGCCCTAGAAAACAAAAGGAGCTATGAAATACAGCCTTTTCTCACGGAAGATTCACATTCTGTTCAGGGTTGCAAACATTATAGATTTCGTAAAGGCTGGAGCGATAGCACAGTGGGTAGGGCATTTGCCTTCCTCGCAGCCAACCTGGGTTCGAATCCTGCGCCCCTCTAGGAGAGCCCGGCAAGCTACCGAGAATATTCTGCCCACACGGCAAAGCCTGGCAAGCTCCTCGTTGCGTATTCGATATGCCAAAAACGGTAACAACAAGTCTCACAATGGAGACATTACTGGGCCCGCTGGAGCAAATCGATGAACAACGGGAGGACAGCGTGGCTGCTACATTATAGACTTCATAGCAGAAGCTATAGTTACTAATATCGAGTTGCTCTGAAAGATTAATGGGCAAAATTAAAATTACATTAGTAAGCCTTCTTAGGTACTTGAAATATGCATTTTTGAGGTTAAGGAACACAGCACCTAAATCAAAACCCAAAGTGCAAATTATATCCTACAACAAAGATTTTTCTTTGGGGGGGGGCATGGAGGGGAGTGCAACCAGCTGTGCTCAGTGATCACTCCTGACTCTCTGCTCTGGACTCACTCCTGAAGTGCTCAGAGGACCATATGCGGTGCGAGATATCGAATTCAGGTCGGCCATGTGCAAGGCAAGCGCCTTACCCACTGTATTACCCCTCCACGTGCCCCCCCCCAAATATTTCATGATAAGGGAAAATAATCATCTCTCCCACTGTTGCATGCATTTTGAAAGCAACATTGACACGTATGTAATTCCTCATCTTCTAAGATGTGGCAAAATCGCAGCCAAGCACAACTCAACCAACTTTAAACCATTCTCTTCTGAAAGCAATCTGGTTTCCGGCAAGCTGAGCGAGAGTTCC